AGAATCCATAATGGCTGGACCAGAATTTACACCTGTTCTTTATTGACCTATCGCAGTGCGTTTCGCGAGATTACCGGCTATTCCCCATTTCAAATACTCTTCAGTCGTAACTTTCGTCTGCGTTGTCTTTGTTTTCGCTCTTCGGAAGCGCTTTCATAGCTCAAGCGCTCATCGATTCTATGTGCATTCAATATATTACGAACACGTACGTACGCAACAATATGTTTGGTTATTTAATTTTCGATACCAAAATTATACATGGTATGGGTGTGAAAATATCAAATCTCAATACAGAGACTTTTAAAATAAAAGACAAAAAGTGACACATAACAACATTTATTCAAACATCTAAAGTGACATCCATAGCTTTTAATTTATATAATTCTCTTTAAAGGCTGGAAAATACAATTTTGTTTAAATATCAACATTCAAAATGGATCTATACATGGTAAAACTCGTGACAAATACTAACAAACATGGAAAGTATACACTGTAAAAAAATTTAGTGTACTACAAGGAATGTAAAACATACATGTAAAATATCACATATAAGGATTTAATTCTGAAAATTTTCAACGATAAAATTTCTGTGTGTAATTTGCTTGGAATTATAAGCATACTAAAAAAAAATTGCATTTGTAAAAGAAATCTATCGTTTAATGGCTAAGATATTGCAAGAAAAGATATGACTTAATTAACGAGAATGATACATTATATATCAGTATATATTTTGTTGAGTGTCTCCTAGCCAACATAGTGATTAGTGACCGAAACGCCGTCGCATGGACCCCCGATCTGGGGTTCTACACCAATCATCAGAGTTATGTCCATGCGACGGAAAAGAATCTACTATCCACTGCCGGCGGCATTCACTGAATTATTGATCTGACTGCCGTAGCGTTGGGTCTGGCCTCGAATCCCGGAGGGTGGCCACCTATCAGGCGCTTTCATAAAGAAATGATCACCATTTCCGCCCCTTGTAGCGGTGCAAGTCTAATAGCTGTTAAATAAAGTGCCCGTCAATTAAATAAATCTTTTGCAGTGTAATGTAATTTTTTCAAGTATGTTTATTTGTATTTTTCAAGTATGTTTATTTGTATTTTTCAAGTATGTTTATTTGTATTTTTCAAGTATGTTTATTTGTATTTTTCAAATATGTATGTTTATATTATTGTTTCAAGTATGAATTGTTCTTTTTTAAGAAATTTCATGTAAATTGCATATTTCAATTTACAAACCGTTCGGTTAGATTTGAAAGTACTATGTTTACAAGCTCCTCAAGGTTTATCAAATTGGCAAGTAGTTAAGTATCGTCGATTTTGACATAGTCAGCAGTGTATTAGTCTGACTACGGAGAATTTGGTTTCATTACTTTTATCGGTGGATTACGTTTACTGTTGTTTGCATTAGCTTTGCAAATAGCCGAACAGTCCAGCATCGCTATGCATTGGTCATCTTGTTTAAGTTGAGCTGTGAATTAGACTGAATAAAAACAGTTTTTGCCTCTGATTAGGTTTCGAGAGATGCGCGTTAAAAACAGAACAATATACTTCTCTCTGGAGATATTACATATAATAATTAAAGCATTTGAAGATCATCCATAGCACCAACATAACAACATTTTAGAACATTCAAACTGAAAATAACTTCTGGAAGCATAAAATTTAGAATATCAGAAATTCATCGCTGATAGAATTTACTTTAAAATGTGAGCATATTTTTATATCTCCATTTGTAATAAAATATATATAAAACTTTTATAATCACAAAGCTTGGAAAAGCTTATGTGAACTCAATCAAATCTAACAATATTTCTTATATAAGATACGTAAATAATATTAAATAGGAACATCGGTATAAAATCTAAAATTATTCCTTAATAATGAACGTTTTCCGTAACTAATATTTTAAACAAATATACTGGGTGTTGACTCTTCACTAAAAAACTTTAAAGCTTGTTCGATATTTCATTTATACCATATCTATGACTAGTAGACACACAAAGGAAATTTCATGATTTTTTAATTACTGAATTACTTAAATTTACAAATCAATTTAGAAATCTATTTCTTTGCTAACGATTATTCAAAAATCGTATTTTATTTCAGAAGGTAGTTAAATTAAAAGATATTCTGCTGAAAGTTACAAGCTGTCGGTACAACCTTGCTGACAAAACCATTGGCACAATGCAAAAGATATCGCACTGTTTTCTTCAAATATATACTTTCATAACTATTCTTATGTCTGAATATTTTCAGAAGATGTTATTTTCAAAGTCAATAACATCTTCATTACATTAAATGGTAATGTATGTGTTGAGTTCTCAGTTAAAATTGCATCAGAAAAGTCATGAAGACAGTTTTTAAAATATTTTTTTAATTATTTAACTAATAAAAATATGAAAGTCTATTAGGGTTTTATGGCTTATAGTATAATAATGTTTTAAGTTATTTATATGATGCATTGTTATAATTAAGCTACAGTGAGGAATGGTTTTATCTACTAAACATTTTTAAAAAAATGACTTCCTGAAAATATGAAATGCTGCGTGTTTAATTATTATAATTATTACATTCTCCGACTGAATATAAATAATTAAGGGTGCGACATTTTACACAGGATGATTTATAAATCTGCAGGCTTTGAATTGCAAAGCACTTGTTTCATTCGAGTGCTGTCAGCACTGTTCTGATTAGTTTCATTACCAGTTAATCAAAAGCTCAATTAATAACTTCGATTAAATGATCTTGTCTTGTTTATTTTTTTGTTTTCTTTTTCTTTTTATTTAATGCAGTCTACTAAGGACCAACGCATCATATTCGCGAAAATGTATTTCAAATCGAATACTGCTATGCAGAGAGATTTCGAAAACTTCGGGCGATCTTCACACGTTACAGTGCTCCTAGCTAAATGCTGTTACGCAACTCATAATCCTCGTCAGCTGCAATCATAAAATCACCCGGACAAAATTGCACGAGTCTTATGAAACAAAACATAGCAGTGGTGTAGGTCAACGGGATTGCGAGCTCTAAAAAAGCGGCTTTGCTATAGTTCACTACCGCTGTTCTTCTCGGTACAAATAATGCTGAGAAATGACCTTCGCACTGCACTCTGCACTCATATAAGATTCAACTGACATAATAAATTAAGCCAACCTATTTTCTCAGATGATTCACCAAATGGATTTTAACAAAACAAGAAGAAGATAGCACTTTTCTAAAAAGAATAACCTTCACTGATGAGGCACGTGTTCATTTGTCAGGATTTTTCAAGCTAAGGTGATTCAGTAGTGTCAAATGCATCTTCTACGCACTACCTTTTAGTGTAGTTTGCAGTAGGAGGTGTGATCCTTCTTTCTAAAGGTATCGTTATAAATACATTTACGGTAAACGCTGATCGTTATCCTGACATAAATAGAAACTTTTGGTTGCCTGATTTGGATGAAATGGATAATGCAAATTTGTGGTTTTAGCAGAATGAGAGTTCCTGCCATAAAATTCGCAACATTAACTTTGCTTCATTAAAGCTCTGCTGGATGTAGGATCTCACTTCGTAGTGGCAATCAAGTCCTGTGACTTCACATCTTTCGACTTCTTTTTAAGAGGTTGTATCAAATCGAACATTTACGTGAACAAACTATCACCTGCAAACAGACTGCCTGCCGGTAAAGTGGAGGTGGACATAATTCACATATCGTTTTCCGCTATTAAACCGGAGTATACATGAAAAGATATAAAATAAAAAAAATTGGAGTTTGTTTTGCGCGGCTTTTTAATAATATATTTTATTTTTACCCACTGCTCAATTTATAAATCACCCTATATTTTTAGATAGCAAGCCTTTGCTTTGCTGCTCAGGAAGTGTAGAGAAATTAATTTTAGCACATAACGAAGACCGGAGGGTTTACTTTCATTCAAGAACTAATCACGCCTATTATCACATTCATTACTCATCAACTAGATTAATTGGTCAAGTACTCATCTTCAAGAAGCAGCGCAATTATTCTGAAGTATTTTTTTATCAGAAAAATACTTTGATCACAGACATAAAATACTATATATCACTTAAACATCTAATAATAATTTTTGTAAAATGTTTTTACAAAGTTATTCTTTGTGGGAATAAATTATAAATATATGGCACATTAAAGTCTTCTTCAAAAATATCACAATAAATAATATGAAAAGCATTTAAAAAAAGCATATGAAAAGCAACAGTTTTACATTTTACTTCCTTGTACGAACTGAGAGAAGTATCGTATTTCAGTGAAAATATTCTTTTTGACCGCTCTCAAATCCATTTGAACGATATTTTTACCTGACCATCTGTACACAAAGAACTCTTTAAGAATAAAGGACTCTTTTTTCCAAAACGAATGGTAAAATTAATTTAAAATGGATTCAGAAGAGAATTTTCTGTGACGTCTGTACGTAAGTATATATATATCTCGCATACCTCAAAAACAAGTATCCTCAGAACGTTGAAATTTTGTATATGAGGCTACGATAACATGTTCAATGCCTCTTTTGGTAGTAATAAGTCCCACTTAAACATTGTTGTTTAGGTAAAAACATAAAAAACATAAATACATATAAAACAACATAAAAAAAAGTTGTTTAGGTGCTACAAAGCCTAAAGAAGCTGTCATTTGTTTACATTTGAAACTCAATAGAATAGTGAATTAAGTCAGTTTGTGCACCAACTTCAGGGTCCTTTTGCTGAGTGGGACCAAAAGTAAACATTGACTTTTGTGCACCGAGAATTCTGTTTTCCTACATGCTAACTGCATTGTTTGTTTTTGAGTAGAAATTCTAATTTTAAGTGCAAAAGTTGTTTTTCTTAACTGTTTTTAATTGTATTCGGTGTTTTATATTTTTCTTAGTTTTACAATTTTTAATGAAGATATTTTGAGTTTTTATGTATTTCTGAGTGAGAACTTGAATGAGAAATATATCTTTAATGAAATTCGGGAAAATAAGTTTAAATGAAATGCAGCAAAAATTGTGCATAATTTAATGGGCCGTACAAGGAAGTCATATGGTGTCTACATCAGATATTTTAGAGAAAATAACACGAAAATCAGTGCAAAGCATTCTTTAAAAATAATAAAGTATGAACCAGAAGTACGTATGCAGCCATCTAAAGCCACTAAACCTTAACTGGTTGAAACAAAATTAGAGCTAATAATCTCTTTCTTTCCAATTTAAGTATTTTATAAGTATTATAATTTTCATCAACAATTATTTTGTTTATGTGGCTTTAAACCAAAGCTCTCAATTCAATGTTCAGTAGCAGATGACCTTTTCATAGCAAGTTTAAAATAATATAATTATATATATATATATATATATATATATATATATGGATGATAATCATGACATAAAATATGAGCACAAGTGATCAGGAATAAAAAGTGAGGTTTCATTATGGTAACAAAATTTTCTATAAATACTTATATCTAATATTGTTATAAAACTTTCATATTCAGTTCGTGCGCAATTGAACATGAAACGTGTTTACCGATCCGAAGGCAAGAATTACTTTTTAAGGCAACTTAATTTTGAAGCTATAGGCTATCATCTAAGTAACTTTTACTCTAAAGTTCACTAACAGATCTTTCACAAAAACCTCTTTCATCCTAGCAGAGGTTTGTCAAATATATTTGCATTACTAAATAACCTTTGATTTAAATCAATCGAATAATCACAAGAAATTTCTCGAAAAATGACCTGGCATGCTGCGGAAGTGCTTTACTAAGTGGATGAATTTCACCGTCAATTATGCATAGTTTTAAACTGTGTTTATAACATGCAGATGCTCTTACGTTGCTAAAAAATTAGAGAAATTCTGATAATCGTTGCCTTTGAGGACCAATGAATCTGCAGCATCACTGGAATGCGAAAACGTTAAGCAGAAAAATTAGAAACTACTTAAGGTGACACTAATTTTGAACTTAGTGCAATAAATAAGCTCTAGGATCCAGTTCAACAGTTCAACCGTTTCTTACAATAAGCCAAACAATGACTCGTGGAAAAACAAAGATAAGCAGCAGATATCATCTTTATACTAACGTATAATTTGGAGTTAAATAGTACATGATTAGCAACACTGGCAACCACTGTTAAATAAATTGTTCAAGATTTGTTAGATCTTTAAGAATATTAAATTGCTAAGATATGAAACACATATTTTATTCACAAACAACGTATTTCATCTTTCGAAAGTTGAGGCCCACCTGCGGCCGAGGGGACGCGGAATACTGGTAGTTCGGGTTGGGGTTTAAATCCCGGCGAACAGGCTAGCTGCATAGGTGATTTCGTGGTTTTCCTCATGTGCAATGTGTATACGAGCTAATTTTCTTTAGAACGTCCTTCCCGAAGACATCCCTTTCCTTAGGCAGATAGTTCTCGAGTTCTTTGCCGTAGTTAAATAAACCAAACCTTCGAAGATTGAATTTTGTTACCCACATTTCTTATTCATACGACAAGTAGTTCTAAATTAATAATTAGGTTTTTGTTGCTAGCAAAAATTACCATGTTTTTCACTGAAATGCTTCTAGGCTTTTATTGGATGAAATGACCATTATAGTAATTTTTAATGTCAATATAAAATGAATCTTTTTATTTGTCAAGTTGGCATAAATCTCCAATATCTATGAAACGTAAAATGTTTAACAGAAGATTTTAAGGATTACGTTTTCTACAAACTTTCAGTCAATTATTTGATAACACAACGGGTTAATTCAGCCATCAAGTTTTCTGCTATCTGCATCACGTTTCAAGCTTTATTTGTAGGAAAATTAATTGTTAGATGTATAGAAAGGAAATTGTAGTATTTTATATACAATCAGTCGTACAGAAATGAGTTAATTTAAAAACATTTATCCATTTATTTCCAAATACTGGGCCAGAAACGTATAATTCAACATAAATAATCAATTTAGCAGAGAAAAAGTGTTACTTATCGGCATCAACTTTAATGACAATTGCTTAAATAGTTCTTTCTAATATATCGGGAAATTTATAGTGACATAAATATTAATTGAATTATCTTAGTAGTATCAAAAATATAGTAGTTGCAATTTATAACACGCATGTCGTTACCGAATATATGATTTTATGATTTTTACTTTAAATTTCAGAATTCTTTAACAATTAACTACCCTTCGTAAACTGAAGTACTTTGTTAATGAAATTAGACTGTCATGCTAATTAACATGTCAAGATACAGTAAGGTATGACAGAATACCTTATTAAGTTTATGAATGCTCAATTGTTTTGTAAGATAATGTAGATTATATAAAATGAATTCCAGATTCACACGTCAAATGAAAGTATTAATTAGCACCAAATAAATTTCTTTTGGCACTATATTCTTTAGAAATTTATAGAAAATCGAAAACAAAAAGTAACAATATTTAGTTCATGAAACGAATTCTTCAGCCTTTTTAAACAATATAAAAGTCATTGCTATTGTCAGTAGCAAAAATATATTTAATATTTTTAGCTAAATATTTCTTGCCCTTGATTTCATATCATCTTGATTATGAGCATGAAAATTTGAAAAATAATTATTTTCTGTTTCTACCTTTTCGTAAATTTTAATTCGTATATACAAATTTACTTTCATATAAATGTTTCGAAGAATAATGTTTTTGAAATAAAATAACGCATTCTCATAATTAGCAATTTGAATTTTTGACTATTTTCAATAAGAATTTTAAACATTTAATAGAAGTTTACTTCAGATTCGCTATACATATATACCTTTATAAATTATAAATATTTCTATGCACACGAGAAATAGAAATCATTCTGCATTAAATGCAGCTCGTTGAATCGTTCTCTTAAAAACTTTTTATCCCGTATTATAGTGAAAATTATATACCGAATTTTAATAGGAAAGCAAATCTGGACAACATGGACAACGGTGCATAATTTTTAATTTTTGGCTTATAACTTAAACCGATTTGGTTTCAAATCTTCATAAGATCAAGTAAAAAAAAAAAAAAGAAAAGAAATCAATACAGTTTTTATACATTACAGTTTACTGCCTATTTGTTTTAATGTGTATTATAGCATGCGTTTAATATTAATATAAGTAAATTTGTGAAATGATCAATCCAAATTTATCGTTAGAAATTTAATGCAGCTACGTAATTAACATAAAGCTTATTTTAAGAGACGTCCTTACGAAAGCATATTGCTCAGGATAAATAGTTGAATTAAGAGATAGCCTTTTTTTCCTTAGACAATGACAATAGCGGAATATAGTGTATATATTTTGATAGATTCTAATAATTTAGTTTTAGAGTTTGTTGCTAGGCATAATTACATTGCATGATATCAGCTCGGTTAGAGCTAAGGTTCTTACGAACATAATTTAAAATAATGCAAGAAATGGTACTTTTATTCAAATAAAAGTAACCTAATCTTAACTTTCATTAATTTTTATCAAGTCTTTTAAACTGTTATTTTTTGCGGATTAATTCAATTTTGTGGAAAATGATTATTTCAAAGTATTCTATGTCTTTTACTTTTTCTATTGATGATGGACTTCAGAAATGGATTATATATTTAATTTTTACCTGATAATAGCTGCCAAGTAGTATTCTTTCCTAAAAACAAAATCTTAAAAAAACTATTTTTTACCGTTCTTTTTAAAATTTTCTTTAAAAGGTAAGAAATTTTTATGAAAATATTAAGCTCTTACTTCAATTGTTAAACAACTCAAAATATATATAAAATATATAAAATCTGATTATGCCCATAGTTCTAAAACCAGAAGAATCCGTTCCAAGTGACATTCATTATTCATAAATATACAGGTAATAGTTTTAAATCTCCAAAGTATTCTATTAATTAAACCCTGGTTATAAAAATTTCTTCTATAAATTGAATGTTGCTAGAAAAGGTTATTATTTAACTTTTTATCTCTAAAAATACAGATGAATTAAATTTAGTCATCACAAACATTAACTACATTATGAGAGATTCCAACAATGGCTCCATCAAGAGGCAATTTCCTTTTGATTCTGCGGCTGATGATGGTGTTCATCATTGATGAGATACTTGTAGACGGCGTAAAAATGGAAGGTGGCGCCGATGTTTACGAAGAGATGCCATATGGCATGGGCACAGGGAATCCGACCATCGCTCTTGAAGAACAGAACACCAGTAATATATACTAAGCCTCCCATACACAATTCCCACATTCCTGAAGATTCATACTAATTGAAAAAAATCAGTAATATGATGTTCAATAACATAACTATATCCTTTAATTAAAGATTAAGCGTTTAAAAACGCTTATATAGGTTAAATAGCTATAAAAACTACCTATATCAAATTGTTCATAAAAGTTTCAAACAGTAGCAGCATTGGTTTAATATTTGAAAATTAGTTTTTGAATACACAAGGATTTTGTACCAATAGAACACCACTCTAAAAACATTGCTTCTATTTCAAGGAGTATAAGATGTTATGTTGATCTGCTAAGAGTTGTACAACATATAATTAATTGGTTTATTGGTCGAATTCATATTTTAAACGAGAATCTGAGTAACATGACAATAGTTACATAAGGGTTTCACTGAAATGCGCATAAAGATATAGGATTATTTTAATAATATAAATTTGATTGCTGGAATAATTAAGTTTTTATCAACAGATGGCACTGTAACGATCCTAATGAACTAGCATTTCTAGCGAGACTGTGTCACACGAGCCGAGGATTATTTTCAAGATTTATCCTTACAAAATTCAACATTTAAAGAAACTGAAACAAACCGATTTCGAGAGACGTCATGAATCTACAAAGTTGGCTTTTCCCAGACAGAAAACAGTACGAACTGCATATAAAACTTCCTGTGGACTGATGAGGAGTTTGTTTCGTTTAACATATGTGTAAATTCACACAACTGGAGCATCTGGAGCCAGGCAGAACACTCACGCAATATTGGATACCTCTTTTTATCAGACAAAGCTGACAGTGTGCCGCGGGTTCCCTGAATCGTTCAACAGCCCACTTTTCCTTTGATAAAATCATTAGCGGTGCATTTTGAACTTATTCTGTCCCAGTGTAGCATTCCTCTTCCATCAACAACTGTTTTTGCTTTATTTATAAATATAATATTTTAAAGAACCGTAATAAATACTGATATATTAGATTGTAATATTTTAAAATCTTTTTAAAGTTCATTTCTCTTAAATTACTCTAACCTTTCTGACTGACATCACTATATCCAGCAAGTAGGTAAATTTAAGGATAGCAAAGAGTTGTTAACATAATTTGTATTTTTGTGATTTTGCTATTCTATATGATCATCATTAGTTATCTAGTAAGGTTGTCTAGAATGCCACATTCTGCAAGCAGAATTTCGTCCATAAATAGTAAAGGAATTGAAATTAAGTTTATTCTTACATCATCTCTCAGTAAATGAATAGTTTCTAATATAGTAGATTTTTTAATATCATATTCACATGTGGATTCTTTTCACCTCAGAAGGTTACAATCGTGGAATTACTTTTACTCTATTACTTCACAATAGGCATTTCAAGGCCATTTCTTTCCCCCAAATAATGACTCACAACCATGGCAACAATTGTTGTTTACCACAAAAATTCTCGAAAAAGGTCGAATCACCTAATTTGCTAAAGTCGTTTTTGCCCCATGCATCCCTTTAACCATTGCTAAATAAAATATATTTTTCATAAGCACATCACGTGAAGACTTTGCAACGAACAAAATATATTCGGTAAATAATTTTAGATATACAGTTTATTTTCTTTCCTGAAGCTGTTGAAGTCCTTGCAGCGTTTATTTAAAAATGATAGCATCAAACAAACTTAAGTGAATTACGTTCTTTGCTTTCGTTTTGAATGAAATTAATAGAGCGGATATTTTTTCAAACACAGCAGTACAAACCATAGTTGTCAAATACGTGAGGACAAAAATGTTGCAAGCGCTATTCTCGAGATGTGTTATGATTATGAATTACACATATAGACACTTTTGAGTTTAGAAATAAATTTGATTTTGTTCTTTGACTTAGCTATCAGTATTGCTAAAAAGCAAACCCTTAGAAGGAAGTAGTATTACATTACCTTATGCATAATAGTTTAATTAGTCTCATGCATAATAATTTAATAAAGCTCAACCTTTCACCAAGGAAAATAGTAACGAAACTCACGGAATTTTCATATAAATCCTATTTGCGTGTTAAAAATCTGGGAAAATGACAAACAGCTAAATGATTTTCTGGTGCCAGATAAAACGAAGAAAACCAAGCTTTTGGCTTTTGACTGTTAAAAAAGTCAGATTATCAACCCCTAGAGTATCACATCTGAGCATAAAATTCACAGCTACATGTTCAGATTTTTGCTTCGAAATATTTTATGGAAAATTCATAAATATGTATAAAGTCTTACCATGTAAAACATAGCGTAAGCCGGAGTTATTCCAATAACAAGGTAAAAGAGTGTTTCTAAAGTTTTGTACCTGTGAAAGAAAAAACATCAGATTTAAGTATAGAGAAAAAATAATTACACTACATTACAGATGGAATGGCCCATTGAAACGAAGAATAATATAACATTTTAGAACACATAACAATACGGCTTGATTCATAGCGTAAAATTCTCAAACAAAGTACGAAATGAAAGAGATGCAATTCCCTCTGTTGGAAGGTAATATGGCTACAAAAATTAATCCACGCAATCCTTTTCTTTTGTTTGTTATATTGCAATATTAGGATTGGGTAATTAAAATTTTAGTTTATATCATATTCTACTTTCAGATTATCATTCAATTTTTTTTTTCATTATTAAAAAAATTTTTACCGCTTAAGACGCTTACGGTGCCACAAACTCAGTTGCTATATTTTTGGGTTCAAATTCGCATCAGGAAGAACGTTCATAACTGAATAACTGTAACGTACGTTTGCAGCAGAAGGCCCTAAATCTGTCCAATTGAAAGTAATCTTGAGCATTTGATTTAAGGAAAAGAGTGGTACTTGACACTTGAGAATAACCTGGTTACACCTCAGAACCTCGAGAATATCCTGGGGATTTCTTTCCCCAGGAAGTTTATTCTCTTCCTTTATTCTCGAAACTCAAAATTTATTTATTTATATGTTATAATAGACGAAACATTTCTGAAACTATCACGCTAAAAGTACATCAAGCAGAATTTTCAAGTTCTGTTTAACTGTATGCCATGAAAACAGTTCTTTTCTGGCATTTGTCTACATATTCGATATTCAGTCGTGGCGGAAGTAATATTCGCTCATTGAATATTGGTATACAGTTACAGTACGAACACATATTCAGCTCATCTCAATATTTCTTGCTGAAAAAAAGGTATGTGAAAAATATTATACAAAGATATTCCTTACTGAAAATTTGTTGCAGTTATATTAAGGACATCAGTCTTTTCATTACATGTACTTTGGCAGCCCCCACTTCTGGATTCGGTCATACAACGACATGCAACTCTCAGATTGTCACAAACCGGGACTATATCGTAATCTCCCAAACTATGATTGTTTGTCATATAATTCTCATCCATATAGACTTTAATAAGATATGCTGTATCTTCTAATCATCTGGCAATATAGAACAGACTATCAGCCATTCATCTACATGAATGATTAGGAACCGACCGATGAGTGGACTTCTACATATAATTTTAGCTATTCACAAGTCTGCTTTAGGATTAGCTGCAATCATTTGGGGGAAGTACACAACATTCAGAAGTTTCGTTAACAAATACGCAAATACTTTCACTAAGTTTACGGTTAACATCTGTAGAAACAGCACAAATCGGAACATAGAACTTCCTCCTCCTTCTCATTTGAAACATTTTTCGGACATAAATTTCGGAGTAATGGCACAAATGATGGACTGCAGACTAACATAGGTAGATGGATGGATCATATTCCTCACATTAAAATATTATTTAAAGTTTCTAATACTAAGCTAATGCACTTTTTAATATGTGACGGAGCATTTCCTGCACATTTCCAATGCCTGAGTTAAAGTTGCCGTAAGAACATAAAACTACTAACTAAAACTCTAACTAAAAGCTAACTTTGAATTAGTATACAAATGTCTAGCACTAAGACTGGCCTTTATTTAAAAGGGTACGTATGTAGTACGCCGAGCTGCTGAAACTACACTCGTTTTCAAATATCAAGAGGACTAAATCTCTGGCCTTAATTAATCTCTGGCCTTATCCAGCAACTGAGTGAAAACTCGTAGAACTGCAGTGGCAAACGGCTTGCTTCCTAAATCTCCTTCTCTCTACCTAACTCTTGACAAAAAGCCAGATACTTGGGCGTTAGCAAGACAATTTGCATAAACAAGTTAAAGCATTTAATTCTGGCCGGAAGTAGAAAATAAGAAGTGATAGCACAGTTTTAAAATAAAATAAACGTTACTAAAACTTAGGATCCTTTCAAAGTAACAGTGATTTGTGTGATTGTCTTAAGTGAGAATGCAGGCATGTGAATCCGCATATGTTATATATCTGCTGACAGCACAAAAACATATTAAAATAAATTTTTATATCTCTTCGGCATTGTGCAACAGTTTTGTTTTTTGCAGTCGTCTAGTGTTGTACACTAATATTACTGTATTTAATTTTTTCATTGTATATTGAAACAATTATATTTTGTATCGCATCCTTAAGATTCGTGTATGCAACCCTGCCGGTATAGTGGTTAGGGGAGCGAACTGCGATACCGAAGGACCCAGATTCGAATCCCGAAGAACGTATGGATGTAAACTGTCTGTCCCATCAGAGGAGGTAACTGTGGCCGCCTGTTAGGTGCCTCCATAGTAAAATGACCACCACTTCAGGCTGTAGCAGTAGCGAAAGCCTAAGAATGGCTAGTGCCCGCCCTTGAAAAAAAGATTCGCGTACTATTATATATATGATTATGGCATTTAACTCTAATATTATATTATCTATTACCTTATAGCTATGTGTTATCTAACTTGTACTGGGTTTTCTAATCTTTAAAATGCTAAATATGTTCTTGTCATGCAGTAGGTAGTAGCGCTATTTTATTTATTTTTCGCAGTATTTTTCATAGCCTTATATCAATAACTTAATATTTATTGAGCTTTATAATGTGAGAAGTATCTACACATGGTTTTGTTCTGTTATTGTACCATTGTGTTACTGTATGATCTCTGTGCATTACTGTACATGTTTCTGTGCTGTGTTATCTTTGCATTACTGTGCCTCGTATTGTGTTCCATACGACAATGCGTATGGAACACAATACGGGCAATATATACAGCACATTGTTGTATATAAATAAAAGCATAAGTGAGAAACTCATCATATGCTTTTATTTATTTCGGCATAGAAAACGATTTTTCCGTAATACAGGTGGTAACTGGTAATGCTATTAAGATTTTCAGAAGTTTGTAAATATCTCCCTTTCTAAATCTGATATTCATCAATTAAAATTCTATTATTACAATCCAGCAGTCAGAAGAATATATATTTTAAAGAATTTGGAACTTTTCATCATATTGAGGTTGGAGAAAGAATTTATTTTGGTGGAAACTGAAATATTCAAAAAAATTAATATTTCCTTATATTTAATAAAAATTTCTGAAGTGCAAGATCACTTTGCTTATCAGTCGCGGAAGAGAAATTCCAGATTTTTAAACAAACCGATCCCTCAAGGCAACTCGAAAGTGGAGTGAAAAACTATAAATTTTGAAATTAAATGTCTCAGTCAATTTTTTTCGTGAACGAGTTAAGCATTTTTTTAAAAATTTTTATAACGAGTATAAAATATTCTTAAACATAAATATAGGAAACGAATGACTGTGAAAAAAATTAATCTTGGGAACTTTTATCAAACTGATTATTTTTTAAATTTAAAAATGCCAAGCATTCATTTAAAACATTTTTTGTATTTTGAAGTCTATCAGTACGATTAACGGTTGCGAAAATAAAGGACGCGCGAGTATTTTTTTGGACATAGTTTCTCCACAAAAATCCTTCGTTTTTGCTAAAGATTATTCTTGACAATAATGATTTGGTTTACGTAGTTACGGGAAAGCCTTAAGGGGCTATCTGTTTAAAAGGAGGGATGCCTTCGTGGAGAATTTTCTAAGAAAACCTGGTTCGTATACACGTCCCACATGGGGAAAAGCACGAAAACGCCCATGCAGCCAGCTTGGCTGCAGGATTCGAACCTTGGACAGAACTACCAGTGTTCAGCGACTTTACCGCTTGGCCACTTGTGGACCTGCTTGACGATAATATCAACGCGGCTGAAGTATAAAGAAAATGCAACATATTTAGTGGAAAGCATTTTAGAAGTGAACTAGTAAGTCTCCAATTCTCCAACGAATCGAATACGTGAACACGTTGAACTCACTTCGATATGAACTGTTTAAGAATGAGAATGAAAGGATTAATAAGTTGAGAATAAATTTAACTTTAAAGATGTTGACGTTGTGCGGTAACATTAAAAGAAATTATATAATTAATAAATAATATTAAATATAGATTAAACAAAGGTAGATCAATTATTTTATTGTTTTATTTTACAACGTAACTCAAACTTTGCTGAACAATGAGTGCTGCTGTTAACAAAATAAATCAACTCATAAAATTAATCAAAAATTTCACTGTAAAACATTTTTCGGCATAAAACCATGGTTAAACATTAATAAACTTTGATCAGCTAACTGCTTCTACCCCCACGCTTTTTTCTTTTCGCTCTTTTTAATATAAGTTGACTATTGGAAACGGACTAAATATAAATTGTCTCATTGACCATATAATACTATAAAAACTGCAAAAAGCTATCTCATACATTTAAGGTATAAATAATTTTGGGTTCAGAACTGATCATCTATTTAATATACACTGCTGGCCATTAAAATTGCAGCACCAGGAAGGAAGGATCTGACGAACGTCAAAATCACATGAAAGAAGAAGTTGGGATATGCAAATGATTAGTATTTCAGCGCATTTTAGACGACGCAGGAGGGAGAAACGACATCTGAAGCATTGCATAAAAAGAAAGATGTGTAGTGGATTTCTCATTCTGAAAGTGCTTTTTAAGGTTGGAATATGCTCGGAATAGCCTGTTATGCTTCGAATAAGAAGAGGAAAGCGTTACCAGCAAGTTTCAAAATTCGACAGCGGCATGATCGCACATCGCCTGCTTTCATTTGATATCGGCATAGGGGCCCTGCACCTGGTGTGATGGTTTGGCCAGCCATTGGGTACACGATACGCACATCTCTAGTTCGGATCGACGGTAATTTGAACGCAGATCTGACATCCAACAAGATAATACAAGATACACAGGGTATTCGATTGCTACCCTGGCCTGCACGATCTCCAGATCTGTCAGCCACTGAAAACATCTCGTCAGGGGTTGCTGAGAGACTGAGTCGCCACCCCTCTCCAGCTTATACGGTTGATGAAGTATGGCCTAGATTTGAAGAGGCATGGAATGAGTTGCCCTTCTATCATCCAAGCCCAATTTGACTCCATGCCTAATGGGATAAGGGCCGTTTTAGCTGCCAGGAGTGACAGCTGTTTCTACTAACTCCCCACTCCCGTAAACCTCCAAAATGCTTATTTAATCATTTTGTCCTCATGCCATACTATTTACGTGCAATAAATATCTTTTTTGTATTTGCTTTCTTTCATGGTGTTGCAATTTGAATGGTCAGCAGTGTATTTTAGCTTTAATGCTTGCTACAATCTAAAATGTACTATTACTTTTAATTCCTTCTGTTAAAAGTTATCAAGATTTCTTTTGGGTTACTAAAGCTACATTAATAATTAATATTGTGTTACAGTAATTTCTTCCTCTTTATTAGTCCTTTTTATGATAAACATACTTTTTATTTCCTTTTTTATGATAAACATACTTTTTAAAAAAAACATACTTTTCGTGGAAGTAATACTGATAGACAATGCCCAAAACTGCCATGGTCCATACAATCCAGCTGAGATTCTGTGTCCAGAAATTTCTTTCGGCATCTTTTAACATCAACCTAGTAAGAAAAACCACATATTCATTATTTGTTCCGTATGAGTAACAAGAAATTAAGATTTTACATCGATTTAGTAAGTACAATGCCTTAGTATCTATTGCCATGCCATAGCCTTTGGTTTCATGGTACGGTATCTGTTGCTGTAATAGCAATAGATACTGAACTGATGGTTTATGAACATCTCATTCTAAGTCTGCAGTGTGTATTATATAAATTATATTATTATATTGCTATATTATTATGTTGCGTGCATACGGGGTCTAGATTGAATGAACAAGTCCGATGATAGGTTAACAATATTTTTTCTTATCAGAAGAAATATATCAGAACTCTAGAATTGTCCTCAGAGATATTCGTAAAAATGTTCACAATATCAAGCAGTAAAATCAGCTGTTATACTTCAAACTACTAAAAACGTTAAATACAACGCAATTCGAAGTGCTTCTGAAGAAAAAGCTAATCCGATCTCACGCTAAACTGGCAACAATAACAACAGCAGCTAACTAAACAACTGAACTCAGATGCTTTCGCTCAGGCCTTTTATAGTTTTCAACCAGCCGCCAGGTACTTCTAGTTCTTTCTGTTTTCGAAATTATTGGAAAGCAGCAAGAGTGTGGAATTACGGTTACAGCTAACATAATTGTCAATTATATTTATTCATTTTCAATACAAATTACCGAGATACCCATTTACTTAATGTTAAATGCACGTGCCCCTGTGTTTTTTCTTTCCCGGAAGAGTTTTCTCTTAAAATATATTATTGCCATCAACAGTTCGTGGCAAATGTCCTAGAATGTCAAAGACGCTATGTTCAAAACGCGCTCCTACATTGTAAAGTTGTAGCTTCCCTCGGCTGCGTTTCTTCGGTCCTTTCCGACCCGCACAGGCATCGCAAGATTGGCACTAGTTTTCCACGTCATCCTTTGCATTATTCCAATAGAAGAGCTCACGAACTCTCTGCATTATTCCGAAGTGGCCTTCTGTAGAGCTGCAATATAGTTCTTGAAGGACGTTCGAGATCCGGGATCTTGGAACTATCAGCTGCCATCGGAAAGCTTTTTAAATCATCCAATTCGAACTTGAGGTACAAGATGCCGTGTCGAATATGGAGTGAGTCCAACATTGCTTTGTCGTAGGACTATAAATTGAAATGTCCTACCAGGTAGGTTTTCTGTTGGAAGATTCCATTAAATCAATTATGGATTTAATGTCGCCCTTTTTCCAACTGGTCTTTATTGACTTCTTCGACACTCCATGGTTCTCCGATGAGTTCTCCTGAAATGGTAATTTGCCGAATTCAACAACTCAGGTTTCTCTTCGACCGTGGTAGGATATTGGAAGCTTTCCAAGCAGCTTTTTTTCTTCATTTTCGCTAAACTTATCATTTAAAATAAAAATTTAAAAACTCAAAAACTTCTCCCTTTTTTCGACAAAATCTCGCCTATTTAATTCAGTAACAATCTATTAATTAATGATCATCTTTTGAAGCAACCAACCCTCAATTTAATTGGTCAGTCAAAGTCCGCCAGAACCTTTTCTAAACTAATTATAACGACATAGAAATTTAAATTAGACGCTTCACTTTTTTTTTACTACATCGCCCCAAAAAACGCCGAGTAGGGTTTCTTCTTAAACTCGTTCGCCGTGAGGACACGATTCATTTATTGTTAAATTCTCCAAGGGCAGTTTAAACAATGAATGTCACCATGTTGCGTGTAAAGACTCTTTTACATAGCTGCCGCATCCGTTTACCTCCTACAACAAAATAAATTTTAACCTTCCTTTCCAGGCTTTCAGACCTTTAATGATAAGTTTTTTTTTTCTTTCAAAACGAATGTCCGCTGCGGACCAACGTCCTGGCTTGCTTCTCATTAAGGGAAGAGAAAACCTGTCTGTGCAACATATACAGACTCGAAAGGTTCCTTTATTCGCATTCTAATTGTTTAACTTTTACTGGCACCTGCATTTTTGCCTACCGCTCACCCCTCATGGAGATTTATAGTTACTTTAATTATAACTGTTAATTACTTTCGTAAATTCCTGATAACAGAGGGAAAATAAAACCTTAATGCATAGAGAATCACAACTAGCCTAATAAATTATCTTTCAGGTTGGGAAGAAAATATCTTTAAGAAGTGTCAAATAATAAAAAACACTTCTATATTTCATTTTTCATTTTAAATAACATGCTTAGGTTTCCTGAGATAAACTATTGAATAGAACAACTTTGAAACACATTACAATCACACGCAACGTAGAATATCATTTCATAGTTATTCACTTTGATTTTAGGGGTATTAAAAGCATATTGCTGTCTGAGTGATAATAATTCTGAATGTGAAACTTCGGTTCTAGGTAATGACCAATTATAATGCCAAAAAATGATGCATGAAACGCACGTCCGCTGCGGACCTCTGTCCAGGTTCGCTTCTCGTTAAGGAAAGAGAAAATATACTATCTGCCTATGCAACGTACACAGAATCAAAAGGATCCTTTATTCGCGAAGAATCAAAATTGTGTATAATTTTTCTCGACCTGTTATGTTTTCACAAATAATGAGGAATAAATATATAATAATTTAATGATAACTTTCGAACTAGGCACCATTTCGTTGTTTCATCGATTCAACTTTCAACTGGCAAATTAAACATTAGTATAAAATCTTGTTTTTATTTAAATTATTTGCATTATTTTTATTATTTAATTCTTAATTATTCTATTTAATTCCTATTTATGGGTAGAGTAGACTTTAAGGTACCCCTTGTATTATGGCGAAGTTGTTTGATTTATCGCCAAGTTGTTGTTTCATTTATGGTAACTTGAGTAGTTCAATGTTATGGAAACCCTATTGTGACGTAATCGGGTGCATGATTCTGGGAAATTTTGAATCATGGGATGTGTTGTAAGCGTTTTTGTGGTGTGTGTTGGTTTGATTCTTTAAACGGTAGAATGACCGAGTGTAGTAAGATTAATTTGAAGTTTCTGTACGATTTGGAGCGAAAGGGAAAAAGAGCTTTAATTGACTGGTGTGTAAATGAAGGTTTACTTAGTAGCCATTATAAGTGTCTTGTATGTAGGAAGGATATGTGCCTAGTCGAACGTAAAAACTATTTAGATGGATTTGAGTGGGTTTGTAGCAAGAAAGGTTCAGATGGTCTTTATGTGAAGCGTTCGATCAGAAAGAGTACCTGGTTTGAAAAAAGTCATTTGAGTATTATTGATATTTTGATTTTTTCGTGGATCTCGGTGTACGAAGCGAATTCGAAAATCATGGTAAGTGAATATTTGCTTTTGGTAGTGCTTAAATGTATAACATGTTTTTCCTTTTTTATGTTATTTTATTGTTTGGTTTAAAATGTATTTTATTGAGATTATGTATTTTTGTTTGCCTATGTTGTAGAATTTGGTGCTCCTTTGATTTTGTAAGTGAAAATATATCGATGTGTACATGGACAAAGTAAAGGGAGTGCGCAATGCAAGTTTGTGCAATTCTGTGATTTTTTTTTAAAGTGAAAATAGGTCGACGTGTACATGGATAAAGTTAAAAGAGTGCGCAATGCCATTTTTGTGCAATTCGTGGATTTTTTTTAAGTGAAAATAGGTCGACGACGTGTACATGGATAAAGTCAAATTGCCATTTTTTTCAATTCGGGGATTTTTTTAAGTGAAAATAAGTCAATGTGTACATGAATACCGAGTTTGTGCAATTGTTTGTCTTGTTATTTTGGCTCTGTGTAGTGGCGATTTTTGGCGCAAAAATCGCCGCTTCGCAAGCCAAAATAACGAGTCAAAGAATTGCACAAAATCGGTATCTATGTATAGCCAAGTTTCGCCAAGAGGTACCCTAAACTATACTTTTACCCTATTTATTAATAACTGGCGTTTCAGGAATGATATAAACTTTTATTATAATCTTAGATTTTAATTCTACCAAACAAAATAACAATTTCTCAATCCTGATATACATGTTTGAAAAGCCATTTTTTGTCATTCAAAAACCACTGGCTATCTGTATTGTGATGTAAAATTTCCATTTCTACTTTCTCTATTGCAAATTTATTTAAAAACGTTCTCCACGAGGGAATCTCTCCCTGGAGATTTAGTGTTCTTTGTTGTAGCCAAAATAATGTTAATCATATCTATATTCTCCAGAAGCTGGTAAAAATGTCATATTCCTGGCTGCATTTTAAACCTAATGAGACTGGCATCTTAAGCACTCTACATTCTATACTGCGGTTTTTATTACTTTAATGTGTACGTATGATGGATTTTCTTTGTTACTTAGCTTGGTGAATGATTAGTTTCTCTGCTTTTGTGTTTTGGCCAATGACAGGAAGTCATCCCTGATACATTGTGAATATTACAGAATATCGATACTGTTCAATAAGGGTTTATTGGTGTAACATACCATATATAAATCTTACACTGTATTTAATAGCAATAATCATGCATTTTAAATCCTTTTAATGGAAAGTAGATAAAAAACAAATTCTGCCTGGCATAAAGTTTGCAGAAAAATTACTGATCTCTAGGAAAATAGATATAAGGGGGGTATAAGAAAAAAGATATAAGATAGGGATCATCATCTTGGTGAGACGGTGCCGCGTTAGTTATATTTTATGTCAACTTGAAAGTAATGAAAAAGAAAAGAATAACTATATAAGCAGTTTCGCAGTTCTAAACTATTGGCGAGGTCATACAGACCTCACCTCTGTGTTTAAGGCTTAACGAAACTGACCCACAGTATACAATCAATAGTAAGATATAAAACTAACATGAAAATAAAATTACCAAACAATTATGGTGTTACAGAAATTAGTATTTATTTATAAAAAGGAAAAATGTATAAAAGGAAAAAATCGGATGTGTAGTTTTGGTATAGAAAAATTACCTTCAGTATGGAGTATGGTCTCCTCTAGCAGCAGTACATACAACAATGTGTGATGCTGTCAGTTAAGGAGTGTATTAGTTCCGTGGGAAGTGAGAGACATTGTTCTTAAAACGTAGTTACACTTGTGGCAAGGGTCTGAAGAGGAGTATTGATAGCAACTGTACGTCTTCCTAAAGCATCGCAAACATGCCCACTTCAGGCACAAACACTACCACCTCCGCATTCATTTCTTTCACAGATGCTTGATGGATGATAACGGGTTCCAGGTTCTCTCCAAATCAAATAACGCTTACTATCGCTTTGGAGGCTAAACCTAGACTCATTCGTGAAGACAACAGCCCTCCATTGATCAGCCATCCAATGGACACGGTCACGTGCCCACCTCAAACCTTCCCTTATAAGACGCGAAATGAGCGGCACGTAAATGGCTCGTCGCTTTGTGCACAGACCTCGTTCGTGAAACCTTCTACGCACGGTAACGTTGACACAAAGCTTCCAGTGACTGTAGCAAGGGAGGATCTGAGTTGAATCGGATTTCCAGTTGTATTCCTTCTTGCGCGTAACAACAAATATCGGTCGTCTGCGCTTGTCGTTGCGGTTGGCCATCTTTGGCTGAACCTCCTGAATGCCAAAACTGTAGTTAGAAATTCTGTAGTTACAAATCTATGAACCACAGAACCCATATTTAGCCATCTGGATAGAACCGTTTGACTTTGCACTGCCTGTAGTCTTCCAGTGGCTCTCCAATCCAGTTCTTCGGGCAAATTATGCCTGGAGGTCATTGTTAAAACTTGGCTATTCCAAATTTCTTATCTCAGTATCACAGCGAAATTTGCAGGCAATGACGTATTCTGCACCACTAATTTGCATTACGAAGTTTTCCTCATCATTTCTTATTTGACAATATATTCGAATTTTATATTGATTGGCTTATTCTTAAACAAGTTATCCCTATTTTTATGATTTTTCCTTAATTTTTGGAAACAGACGTATAAAACATAACAACCACGAAAACTTCCTTTCTTTAGAGTACTTAACCATCAAAATTAAGAACAACATAAAGAAACATCGGAAACGTAGCATGGAAACCCTACAAAGTGTGTTTTGGATCAGTAACGTCGCGGTGTACTTGTATCACCACACCAAAAAATCTCGGGGTTCGATATGCTTGGTTCATGTTTATCTCACATAAAGAAATAAATAAAAATCTCCAGCACGATCTCCTGCTTAAGCCAATAAATGTTAGTCACAGACGATAAATTGCATTTAATTTTAGAATTTTGTATTTTTTCATAAATAAATATTCTGAATACATTGCGAAACCTAAGACTATTTTCTTGACGAAAATAATAATTATTTATAAATTTTCAAATTACTAAAAATTTTACCAGAGATTTTCTTTTCTTTACGATGTGTTTATTAAAACGTCGTTATAAAAAGTCATTTATTTGGATTACTAAACTACCGTCATTATATGCAGGGCACATTCCTTGATTACTTTTAATTTTCCTCAGTGAATATTCTTAGGTTATATAAACATGACCACTGAAGTTAAAAAAATATAAACATGTGAAGAGAGAAAAATTGACTTACCAAGGGGTATAGGAAGCTGCAATAAAGATGTAAATGATTGCTCGGTCACAAAGATGGAGAGCTTCTTTAAGTGACCTACATTAGAAGTAAAAATTCATTGTTTTAAAATAAAAATACATTTTGATATTAAAAAATAAAAATTTTAGGTAACCACATTATGTTACTATAGAGTCACCCAAAGTAGAATCCAGTTACCTATAGCCATAAAAAAGCTAAAGAAATTATCACAAAACTGCTAATAATATAAAAGGCCTTTTTGTTTCTTTTATCGGTCATCTTGAGAGCTAATTTACCTGATCCTTTTTCATTAATTTGGAAGCTGTTGAAGATATATTATCCTGCAACAAAATTGAACAAATGTTATACAAAAATTATGCAGCAAAATCGAAAATTTTTCGGAAGTAATCATAAAGATGAAATTTAAGATCAGAAGAAAGGAGAAAAATATAAATCGTATTGTATCGTTTCTATGTGTTTCTTTTTTCTATTGCCAGAGGTGCTATTGGTTTCTATCCTTACTTTTTTGTTCCTAGAGCATAAAGCCAGGTCGAATGGTGTAGCACCAGGCTACTTGTGAAGGACGCACTACCGCATCGAATAATGTTTACAGCAAGTTACGTTCATTGGATTTAAGTTATTATTCGCTATGTTTAATGAAAAGATAAAGAAACTAAATAGAAGGTACGATTAGGTATATGTGCTAAAGTATACGTATGTATGCATATGCAGCAAAATTGAAAATTTTTCGTAAGTAATCATAAAGATGAACTTCAAGATCAGAAGAAAGGAGAAAAATATAAAATTATTTTTGCATTATTTATATATATAAATATAAAATGCAAAAATAATTTTAAATATAATATGTTTGAAATTCATCCTATGTACACATATACGCGCATACGTATATACACACGTGCATAGATACATATATATTTTGAGTCCGGTTCCGATGATAGAAAAGTACCCCAAAATAAAAAAACCCAAACTGCAACTTCCACTGTGCTTCTCGTTTATGGCTTTTTGAATTTTGCATACCTTCATACCGAACTGAATGTGAAATGCATTTTAAAAACAGTATTTTGAAATTTATTTTGCATTATTACCACTACTTGTTCCTGCTTTCAGCGCGCAACTGGAATAGCTTTTGAACTGCTTTTACTTTATATTTTTTATTTTCATTAAATATGTGCGTGTGTATATACATAGTTAATATATATATATATATATATACATTAATATTAATTATTAGGTATTACTATTATTATTAATATATATATTAATAATTAGTAATATTGTTAATTAGGTTTAAAATAGTTGCACTTAAAATGTGTTTAGCTGTTTTGATGCTTATACATTCATTGAAATTCATAGTTGAAAATTAAATTGATTCTTTATTCATAGTGCTTTGACAGCAACGAAAATTTCGAGCCAGGTGATAATAAAAGGTACGGAGCTGCTTAATATATAATTTCCACTAGCATTCCATGTAATATTAGTTAATGACTAGTAAAAATTGTTTAGCATTGTTCACTGTGTACGAAATAAACATTTCTTTGAATAATGAGAAAATTACGAAAACTTTGTTTATGGTGTTATTCATGAATTACAGTTGTGGCATTTTTGCATTAATTTTCAACATTATGGCACTTGGTGAAAGCCATTGGAACCTATTTTCTAATTATTTTATAAATTTCTGAATATCAACAAAAGTCCTAATACGTGCCCCACTCGGGGTCATATCGTAAGTTTTTCCGAAAAATTTGTTTTGAACCATGGTAACGCAAGAGACTCCTGCTATGGTGACTTAATCTTTGACACACGAGCCACTGCTTTTCAATATCACAGCAAGCTGTTCTGGCCTATGTTAATTTCTGAGTGATTATTATCAAATTTATTTGGTAATTTTGAGAAGAATTTGGACAACCACGATAATTCGCGAAATGTTCTTCTAAACAATTACAACGCTTTATATTATCAATATATTTCCCAGAGCATTCAGAGCTTTTATGTGGCCCACATATTGAACGCAAAGTGATTTAAGTTTGGACACATCCGATAAATGATTGAAATGCTGGCAGTTGTGGCATTGTACGACACTGCTCTTGAGCTTACATATATTGAAAGACATTTATGTTAAAATACAAGAAATTATTTATTTCGCAGATTCGTTCAACACCCAGTTCATTGGCTGACTGGATTTGGAACATAGTGATTGTCACCTTAGTTTTTATCCTGTACATTAATGCAACTTTCCTGACTTTAACATGCTACACGATCAGTCGACGAAGAAAGCTACTCCATGCAATCCTTCTGCGAAGGTCAGCGAGCGACACATTCAAGAACGCTTAGCACGTGGAAAGGCAATCTGCATCCTCTTCTTAATTCTTCAAAATTGTAAACACTTGCAATATCACATTATAAACTCATTATATACAAAAGCCAGTCGTGCAGTTGTTCCAACCTTCAAACTTCATATTGAATTTGTTAATTTATTTTTTCGGATCACTTTTATGTCCGTATTACTTTCAAATATTATTGTGTTGTCACTAAATGTATTTGAAATGTATTATTTTAAGAGCTAATATAGAAAATATAAAAAGAGAAATGCATGAGAACACAAGTAAAAGGATATTCCACCAAATGATTTCGCCACTGTATTATTTTAAAGGAAAAATAATATAACGAATATTAAAAAAATATGGCAACACTTAACACTCTATCGAGAATTCTGAAGATATGTTTTTTTAAATATTTTGTGATTTTGCTGTTGAATTTTATGTAGCGTAAGTGCAAAGAAAGTGATGTTTTATAAACAAAATGAAAAAAGAGGGCTAATAATAAAAGAGAAAATGTTATGTAAGTCATCTAATTAATAAAATTGAACATTGATAAGATGAATTGAGAAAGCAGACGAACAATTAATTGCAACACTTAGCACTACATCGGAAACTCTAAGCATATGCTGCTTTTAAAAATTTTTGATTTTTCTGTTGAATTTTATATGGCATAAGCGTGAAGAAAGTCATTAATGATAAAGTTAAAAAGAGAAAAATTGTTATGTAGGCCGTCTTAAAAACGAAACTGCATACTGAAATGATGAACTGACAAAAGACTGAAAAGATTTGGAAAATTTGTGGCAACACTTAAAATTCTATCAGGAACTCTAAAACAATGCTGCTTTTAAAAATGCTTTGATTTTACTGTTAAATTTAATGCGGTGAAAGGGAGAAAAGAGTGATATTTAATAATTTGTATTATTAAATAATGAAGATTGGTATGTATGTATATTTCTCTCATTGCGGAAAAATGGCGCCACCTAGAGCTACCACATTTTAATCGAAAGCCGTCTTGGATGTTGCTTGATGATCTCCCTTATCAATTCTATGCTGAGGCAAACTCGTTCGGCCAATCAGATGAACAGGAAAAATATCTTGAAATTTTTGAATGACGCTTTCTTCAGCATTTCTTTCTTCCTCGCTTAGTTGTAGATACCTCAATAACTCCGATATTAGACTTTCCGGAAAAAATAGAGACTGGAGGACTACTGACTCTTTTAATGTAGGTCACTGGAGACATACTGCAATCACTTCCGATCCTCCTAATAACTTCCACCTTTTCACTTAAAATGACAACTCTCATTGGATAATGGTCCTCGATAGGTCGAAGAGTGCTGGGTCTACTAGTACTAATGTTACTTATATTATTAGTAAATATTAATTAAAAGTAATTGCGTCGATTTTTATCATTTTAATCGATGCAGAATGTTCTGTTATAAGTGCCTTGTAAATTTAATAAATCGTAGACCATGATGCAAGTTTTCTGGCAAAATAATCTTAAAAAATACTGAAATCCTTTTGCAAGTAGCCCACCAGTGGCCGAGCGGTAAAGTCGCTTAACACTGGTAGTTCGGTCCGAGGTTCGAATCCCGCGAACGGACTGGCTGTATGGCTGTTTTCGTGGTTTACTCATGTGTAACGTATATACGAGCAAGTTTGCCCTAGAAAGTCCTCCACGAAGGCATCCCTGCCCATAGGCAGATACCCCTCGAGGCTTTGCCGTAATTAAATAACCTAACCTAACCTTTTGAAAATATTAACATTTGACTCATGATACGCTTTTGTTAACTTATAAAAAGGTTTTTGCTTAATGAAACTAAAATCTTCATTGTTATACCTGTAATTATATAAAACATTTCCAGTTTCATTTCGAAATGAATATAATGTCTTAATGTACTGAGTTATATATACTGAATAAATTACAACACCAGTTTTATTTTTAGCACAAAACTGTAAGAGCTATAAATATCAATTAACTGCGTATGAGTTTACTATTATAAGATAGCTCGTCTATAGCTTAATGGGAAATTGTAATGATTGAATAATCACTAATGAAAACATAATATATAATTATGCAAATCTGTAGTTATAATTTTATAAATATTTTGTTTAAACACAGTAAAGTATACATGGATTGTATATTTTTTTATTTTAATTAAAACGTTAGAAACAATAGATAAATATCACAAAAGTTACAGAAATGTTCATTTAATACTTTTTTGTATAATTATGTAAGCGATAGGGTTTTATTTTAATGTCGCATTTCTTCGTTTTAATATGTGAATAGGTCTTTTTGATATGCTTGTTTTATAACAAATGCGCATAGAAAATATTAAATCCTTATCAGAGGAACATTTTGCATCGACTAACATTTGACTAGTATAGGCTATATTAGTATAGGCTTGAGCCTATACTACTATTACTCTTTAATTTCTTACAATTTTTAACAATTCTTTCACACGCATAAAAGAAATGGAGGAACTTCCAAACCCATGCAGTTAGTCGTTCCCTCCTTTCTTCTTTCCTCTCCCCCAAAATACCATACATTTAAAAATGCTATATTTTATGCTGAAGCCTCTATTCTGTTATTATTAAACAAATTTCCTAAGTAGTCATCTAAATTGTACAGTGGAAAATAAACAAGGCCAATTAATGCATTTTGGTATTTTGATACGAACGTACAGGATGCAGTGCTACTGAAAATAAATAATTTTAATCATATTTTAATTTAGTACTTTTTCTCTTTTAACTATCAAATTCATTTTGTTTTAATTATAAATTAATTTAAGGTTTTTATGAAATTATCTAATTTCTCTCATTGATTTTGAAGGAAAAAATTAAAAAAAAAGAAAAAAGAAAGAAAGAAAGAGAGAAATTTAGTAATTTTTTTAGCATATTCAAGAAAGTCACCGTTCGATTTTAAAAATACTCTAACATTTCGCTATTCCCTGTTTTATTCAGTTACGTAAGTTTTAAGTAGAATAAAGTACCTAAATTTTCTTGTATAGAATACATAGTGGAAGATAGTGGATATAAGGAAGAGCGATACCAAAGCTGCACCATAGACGAAACCACTGAAGTATTTCCTTTTATCGTTTGACCGCTGCAGTAGAAGGAACAGGCCCATCAAGCTGGGAATCACAGACAGCTGTAAGAAAAAAAGTCACATGATAAATCCAATTTCAGAGAGTGAGACTGCCCACGGTATGTGACATACATCGACTTTGTTTACTATTAAGTCATAGTAATTGACCAGATATGTAAGAAATACATTTTTGTGGGAAAAGGAGTTTATGACCCGAGTGTTTCAAATTCTTTCAGAATTTCACTAGAGCTCTTTTATTATGCCCTTACAGCTTTTATTTTACATCATTATTTATTAAAAGACGCAGCCATTTAACTAAATGTTACTTCAAATGCATAATATCACATAATTCGTTAATCGAAGGTAATGGGAAAACTACTCTCAGAACGTTAAGCCATTTTAACTCGCAGGGTCTCTAAGAAAACTTATGTACTCATATACAGGGAACGTAGCACCCCGAAAGTTAGTTGTACTCCATAAAAATGACTATGGATTAAAAGCGCCATTTCCCTCAGTGGAGAAATACAATTAAAAATGTAACTCAGAAGCCATTATACAGAACTTCCCATTACAAAATGAAATAGCGATGTTTAACAAATATAAAACAGCACTTTATTCAATAGATCAGAATAATAAAAACATCAGAAGAAACTAATTTATGACAACTAGCACATTTTATACGTTAGCCTTGATATGGTTTCCTATGAAGAGGCCAGCTGCATAAACTTTTTTTCTCGTGTAAAGAGAAACCATAACCAATTTCTCGCTCAAAGCACTCCATTAATTGTCCTTCCAATAGCAGTTGCCTCCCATGTGCTTTGCCTTAATCAATTAACTAATCAAAGTAAAGGTAGATATGACTTCATAGCGTCCCTTACATTGTATAACCTGGTAAGCTCCTTTCGCAGTATGCTGACATTCGGAACAAGCCAACTATGTAACATAGTACGTTCGTGAAAGCAGACATCAAACTGCCGACATCAAATCCTGAATTCAATCCGTATCTTTTCGCCTTTTTACCCTGGATTTACATGTGTCTTAAATTAGAATAAATCTACGTTATATCTTGTAACCGAGTTTTTGCTTGAATCTCTTGATAACTACCGAAAATGGGTTTTCACTGATGCTTTGTCTTTATGTTTTTCAAACTGTTACTAATGGATTAGGTATCACTTTATATTAATTAAGCATTACACTTCCATTCTCTACATGAAAGTTTTTCAATGGTTTTAAATTTATTTTTCTGAAGTCTATATTCCAGCAATACGGAATGCTGGGGGGGGATGCAATGCTAAATGGGGTTACCACATCTAACGATTCGTGAGGCTAGAAGAAACTTTTCCGAGAAATGAGCTCGGTCATTACCTACCATATGAGGATTCTAGCAGAAATATGTTTCGTTGAAATCTGTGTCCCGCCTAGCTAAGAGGAATTTTTTTAGATTAAACTGAAAAATGTTTTGTTCGAAGCGCTGTCTTTCTTACGGTTTTTCATATATGCGAACCAGGAAGATATCTCGAAAATAAAAATTCTGGAAAGTTTTCTTTCGACTCGCTGTTCAGAACAGCATATAGCAAAGATACCAGTTTTAGTGACTGAGTGTGATCATTTTCCAACTTGTATACGTTGATTCGGCGATGCTACTGTGCAACTATTCGAAAGTTATACGACGTTTCTAACTTGTATACGTTGATTCGGCGATGCATGTGTGCAACTATTCGAAAGTTATACGACGTATTCTACTTCACGAAAAAAATCATCTGTACGTCATACCATAAAGATTACGAAACATTAATAAGAGAAATGATCAAAAATTTTTAATTTAAATGCACATAAATACCTACTAGAATATACATTATTAACCACAGTAAAAATTACTGTAATTGAGAATTTACTTTCTATTTTTAAGGCTATACATTTGTGTGTTATTTGGAGAAATTTACTCATTTTAATTAATTTAAACTGTAATTTTAACGGTAAAAAATTGTTTTTTTAACGATTTTTAATTCTATTTGGTGCTTTAGGTTTTTCTGCATTTTACAATTTTTAAGGAAGATGTTTTGAATTTTTATGTATTTTCTCCTTGCCGCGAAGGGAAAACTGAATTGACTGATAGAGAAATATATCTCTAATGAAATTCGAAGAAATAAGTTTAAATAAAATGCAGCAAAAAAGGTGCGTAATTTAATTGGCGGTACAAGGAAGTCATGTCATATTTTTATAATTGAACAAACGACTAACTTGTGTTGCAGGCCTTTTGCACCAAAGTTTTGTTTGGATTAATAGCTCTGTACATTGTTGCTAACAAATGTAAATATTTGCATTACTTGTTTGAACTTTTTAATATTAGCTTACCTAATTTAACTAATTTATCTAATAATTTTTAATATTAGTTTATCTAATTTATATTATTAGGTTTTTATTTATTGTTATTTATTCCGAACAGCATTCATTGTAAATCTCAGGATATTTATTTATCTTCTTATGTACTAGTCATAATTTTATGTTTTTAATTGGATTATTATGTTCTGCACGCAGTATTGTGTAAATAAACAACTTAAGTCAGTCAGACCTAAATAACATTTGGTGATTTCTCAATGGAGCAGTGAAACTTTTAAAAGACTCTAGAAGCAAATTATTGCTACACATTTCATGAACGAATTATTTTATATCGCTTTTGAGATAAATCATAAACGATAACAATTATTTTTGTTTCTGAGTTATGCGAGGTACATACATACGTACGTTATGTATGCGCGCATAAACATCACCCCTTTGAGTAGATTTAAAATTCATTTTACAGACCGTTTCGTAAAAAAAGAGTCCTTTATTCTACACGTACAGACGACAAACGAAAAATAGTCTACATGGAATCGGGAACAGTCAAAATGGATATTTTCTTTGAAATATGATACCCGTAATTTGTCGCGATTACAACGCTTCCTTTATTTCATAAAAGAAAATAAAAATGTAATAGAAGAGCAAACGTTCTCATTAAGCAAAGTGTAGTTTATATGGGTTCTGCTTAAAGCTTATTTTGTTTCAGCTGCAGTTCTTTAGAGAATTTTTTTCATTTGCTATATTTTGAATTAATATAGCGGCAAAGTTCTTCTCGTCATCAATGCCTTTCCGAGTTGTACACGAACTGTTAGCATACAACAACATAAAATATTTAGCTTAAATATTGACGCAAAACATAATAAATAAAACAACACCAACAGAAATCGATATATTCCTATCAACCAAATAGAAGCTTTAATATATCTTTTATAACATTACTACTTTTATAAGAACTAGCTAGTTCTATTTGCAATAGAGCTAGTCAGTGTGCGTTTGAATGACGTTTTGATACATCTCATTAGATGAAACTTCGTTAAAACCAGGGGCGTAGCTAGAGGGGGGAAAGGGGGGAATCTGTCCCCGGGCGCAGAATCCAAGGGGCGCCAAACTGATGTTACGACATTTTACAATTAAATGTTTTCCATCCTTGGCAAGCAGTAGGGGGCGCGAAATTTTCAGTTATCCCTGGGCGCTGAAAACGACTCTGGTTAAAACATTATTTGATGGTGCAATCAACACTAATGATTTCATTAGAGTTATTTCTTTTCATCATTGCCCTCGCCTAGAAATAAAGAAATTAATTCATAATTCGAATTATTTCTAATTATATGTATTTGGCAATAACAATTAACAATTTTATCACCATCTCAAATTGTTTTCCAATACCCTCCAGAGCGTTTCACACATTATTAGATCACTTATATTCAATGCAAATAGGATTCGAAAACGCGAATTCAGAGATTATCACTATATCAGTGTTTCCTAATGCAGTTTTAAATACTTGATGTACAAATACTTAAAAGGAAGGACAAAATCTTTCGTGGGACTAAGAACATGGTTTCAAATACGAATCGAATGTTCTGCACTAAAAAAAAAATTATCAACTTCCGGCGACTGAAAAGTTATCTTTTGTCACGAGACATCAAAGAAAGAAAATAAATTTCGTATACCATTTAGAATCCATGAAGAACGGATTTCATTGAACGGAGGAAAGGACGTGAAGTCTGTGCAGCTCAAAGAAACATTTGTACGGCTTATAGCTTATGATTCATGTCACTAAAGCCCGCACAAATAAACGGAGAAAAGATTATATAAAAATCTGGCTAATCGCCAAAGGACAAATCTCATGGCAAACGCAAAAGACGGTCAAGTTCAAAACCACATTTAAAATAATTGAACTGGACAGTGATATCGGAAAAGAATGGCATTTTACAAAATCTTAACGTTTTTAAAATTTTTTATATCCATGTTCCCAACAGAAATTGAATTTGAAATTCATTGCAAATAAATTTACTTCTATAAAATTTCGTTAAACTCAGGCAAAACTGCAAATTCAAATTTTAACTTAGAAAATATAGAGAAAATAAACAAATGTACGAAAAACAAGTATCGTACAATGTACAAATACCGTATTTACCATTTTTTTTAATGCAAAATATCATATTTTACAGCATTCCCCACCCACATAATTTTATCCCCAGTGTTTTCAACACATTATTTAGAAACTTCCCTTTCATGGTAGCAAATGCCAATAGAATGAAATGGGAAAATAGAAAAATATTTCCTGTGAGTTGTAAAGTTGCGCGCTTCCAACCTGCACGCAACCAAGTGGTAACTGCAGAAAACTGGAAATTAGACAGAGTCTTGAGAAGGGTTTAAGTCCCTTTTTATTCAACTTTAGAAATTACAATTGCGTGCTCTTGACGCTCACAAACTACGCCGACCCGGCGGTAAAATAAAAATAAGAAACTAAAAAGATAATAACGAGTGACTAACTACGAGGCTCTCTAAACGTAACTAACCTCACCGCGTTCTAAAATACCGCTTATAATTCAGCAAACTCTGAATACCACGTTGAAAGATTAACAATTCGCCGAGGCAAGCACACAGGCCGAAACGCGTGGTTATTCAATTTCTAACTAGCCACCTCCACACTCGTGAAGCAAGAAAGCACACTTCGAACTCGTTTCCTTTCTATTTAACTCAGAATACTTCCGCTGATAATTTGAATCCTTGCGCGTTCTACTAAAATTTACATACTCTGGCATTGGCAGTTCCAGGGGAAAGTAAGGCTTGACAGGAAAGATAGTTTAAACTTAAAATAAATGTTAGTTAAAATAAATATAAACCCTACAGAGTAAAAGAATATCATTTAAATTGATAAAGTTCTTTGAAATATGTAAAATAATAATATTAGTGGGTATTTATGAGTGTAATGTGTTTATTTTTTGTTTATCTCTTTGGAAATAGCATACACCGCGAAATATTTCGTCGCCAGTTTTCAAACGGTGAAACTAGAACGAAAAGAGGGGATACCCGAGTAAATACTGTAGATGCACTTCAGCATGTTAAAGCGCTTTGGAATTAAGAACTCTGAAACATGATTTTGTTCATTATCTGAGCATTTTTAAAATTTTTCTTATGATCTGGAAGTGCATAATATGTATGTGCTAATAAAATCGAATTACTCTAATTTTGGAATACATCAAATAAAAGATAAATAAATATAAATTATGTGATTATGCTTATTTTAATTCGAATGTACATTTACTTTTCAATAATAAAATCTAGAAAATATGAAAAGGGATATCAAACTGGGGAAACCAAATCATTATTTTAACTATTGCTTTGCATATTATAAATAAATAACAGTTACTGTCTTTCTTGAATATGTTTCAATAAAGCTTAATATTATTATGCTTTTTCTACTGTACACAGAGGCTACACTTTCATTATTATTCCGAAAGATTATTCGCGGATTCATTCGGCAGAATAATCATAGGATAGATGTTACATCATGAATATTTCATTATGTCAGAAGTGGAAATGCAATTTATATTAGAGAATGAAACTGCTGTCGTCAGGCCTACAAATATGAGAATAAAACCCAAAATCTTTTCAGATACCTATTCTTCTACATCGCATCCACCTTTGAAAAAAAAGGAGAAGATCGTTTTATTCACTATTATTCCTTAAAATATTTCTCCATTACGTAAAGTTCTTTACTCCATTACGTAAAGTTACTCCATTACGTTACTCCATTACGTAAAGTTACGTAAAGTGAATTGTAATACTGAGAATGTAAACGTATAATGATGCTTTCCCATTATCAACGTTTAAAACTGCACGTATTATAAGGAAGGAAGAAGGTTCAGTAATCAGCGACTACGTTGCATAAAGTGTGCAGCAGAAAAATTTACCCAACATAAAGTAAAAATGGAAAGAATCACAGAATTCCTTTTAATGCATAAAAAAAGAAGCACTGAACGATTTGTTGTCATCAATGCAGAACTGACAGGTAATGCTACCAGAAGCTAGCCCATGATTCTGTGTACAGTAAAAATCAATATTAGTATAGAGAAGATGCATTCCATGTCGTTTCATGTGACATACTCACGAGAACTCGCAGTTTGCGATTCCTGCAACATCTGAAAGCGGAAGTATTTACGCATAAATCCTGAATCACTGGCAAACTCATGGATACAATTTGGGAGAAAATTATAGGAATACTTTTAGCGGCAATCACGAGAACTGGCTGTGTTTTAATATTAGGTTTTAGACTACATCATTTCGATTATACTATTTTTAAAATATAATGACACAGTACTGTCACGATGCAAACACAATGCTCGTATTAAGTGATACAAACCTTGTAATCATATGACGTAAACTCCAACGAAACTCTGGTACGAAAGTGTGCATTAACAACGTAAATTTGACTGCATGAAAGGTAAAACTGAATGCTCCCAAACGTCTACAGCAGCGGTTCTTAGCCTTTTGACTAACGCGTACCATTTACAGAAAAATTGAAAAACTTTACTGCCACCACTAAATTTTACAATGATTATTTTACAATTTCTCCATAGAAATAGTTTTAAAAAAATATCAATATTTTTTGCCATTTGCACAAACTATTGGCTATTTGGCTAAATACTTAAACAGAAATAAGATTAAAAATTGATTAAAATTTTAACTATCAAAATTTAAGTTATAATAATTTATTTATAAAATTTAGTGTGAAATTTGGGTCTGTTTAAGAGAGACCAATTTTTTTATTGTCTGATCTTAATTCACTTACTTTTAACCGTAAATTAGGATCCATTTAGAAACGATGGTTTCATACTTTGCATAATAGTTCGCCGGAGATAACATATTAATGCTGAGGGTCCATTTCATCTCCATTCCAAGTAAACCCGAATGATAAATAACTTTCATTAAATAATTTTTCTTTTCTTTCCAATATTCTTAGTTTAATTAATTCCAATATTCTGTGAATTTTGTTCTGTATTTATTTTTCGAATAATACTTTAATTCTAAAATTTAGTGGTAAATTTGCATCTGTTTAAGACAGATTAATTTCTTTATGCCTGCTGTTCTTTCACTCAGTTTTAACCGTAAATTAGGATCCACTTTTAATCTTTTTCTGTATTTATTTTTCAAATATAAAATGGAAAAAAAATCCCTGTTGATAAAAATAGGCTGTGAAAAAAGGCAATTTGAATACAATTTGAATAGCTTTATTTGACATGCCTTTAAATTCTTTTTTCGGTTCAGCCAAAAGTTAACAAATGTGTTATTTTTGAAATCTTCAGTTAAAGTTTGATCACAGGAAATTTTTATCAGTTGTTCTTTTTCTTCATGATATAAAATTTTAAATACATTTGAACAAAATGGATTTCTAATCCAATTTTCTTTTTCACAATAAATATAAATACATGTTGAAATTATTTATCAACGAAAAACAGTGATTTTTAATATCGGATACGAATTCTTCAAATTATTTTTGCTTAGAAAACTTTCTAAAAAGTGGTAAAAAGTTTAAAACATTATTTACTTTTATTATTAGCTCGAGTTTCTTATGCTTGCATTTATTTTATTATCTCTAATGGAAAAAAATTAATACATTATTCTTGTAATCCTAAATTTAATTCGCTTAACTGTCCAAAAATATCAGATAAAAATGATAAAGGCGCCAATCATAATTCACTAAACAAACAATTTTGGAATCAAAATTTTGAATCACATAGGAAAATTTGAATTTCTACTCGAAGTTCGAAAAGACGATTTAAAACTTTAGAAAAAAAAAAGTTAATTTAAAACGTTAGAAAAAGAAAAAGGCCTCTGGATGACCACCTTACTGCGTAATGAAACAAAAGAGTTTCATGTTCACTTCCCATCTCTTGGCATAAAATCGGAAATATTCTTTAATTTAGAGCTCGGACTTTAATAAAATCAATAATTTAATAATTTTCACAGCTTGATTCAAAACGATTTTCAGGTTTTCGACGTTTGTTTTGGCTACTAAAGCTGTATGGAGCAGTGAGTAAATTTAGTTTCAGGTACAACTCTCTTTATTTGAGAAATATCACCAGAATGTTTTCCTATGTTAAAGCCCAAGCTTTGTCACTGTATACGGCAATGCCCTTATTCCAAGAAATATCATTCTCAGATTTAGGGCATTTTTTTGGTACTAAAGCTGAATGGATCAGTGAGTAAATTTAGTTTCAGATACGACTTTATTTGAGAAGTAACACCGGCATGTTTTCCTGCTAAAGCCCAAGCTCTGTCACTGCATGCGGAAGTGCACTTATTCCAAGGAATATCATTCTCAGATTTAGGGCATTTTTTGGCTACTAAAGCTGAATGGATCAGTGAGTAAATTTAGTTTCAGATACGACTTTCTTTATTTGAGAAGTAACACCGGAATGTTTACCTGTCAAAGCCCAAGCTCTGTCACTGCATGCGGAAGTGCACTTATTCCAAGGAATATCATTCTCAGCCATAAAATTGTCAATTACTTTGAAAATTTCATTTGCAGTTGCTATATCAGGAACATATTCTCAAAATAAATACTCTTCGGCAATTCGTTTACCTTCTTCAAAATGTATGTAAACTAATACTTGAACAAAGTTCTTTATATCAGCACCTTTATCCAATTGCAACACGAAATACTCACGGTGTTTTTATTTTTTGAATGTCTCTTTTATGGAATTTGCCATTTCATGAATTCGTTGACTTAAGTATATCATTTAATAATGGAATATTATTAAGTTCATTAAACGCTCTTTCGCTGAAAAATGTTAAAACGATATCTTTAGCTGCTGCTAATACAAGATTTTCTCCAATAGTTTGAGCTGTCTAAGCTTGGAAATTCTTAGGATTACTAGGTAACTAGCATCCAAAGCTTTTCACTTGAAGTAACAAAGCCTTTCATTACTTGTTTAATATTTTTGAACTATAATTTTCTCTTAAAATATTCTTCAAATTTATCCTTTAAATTCCCATGCTTAGATTCAAGATCTCTTTTAAGAAACGATGGTTTCATACTTTGATTGCATAGTAGTTCACCGGAGATAACACATTTTAATGTTGAAGGTCCATTTCATATCCATTCCAAGTAAACCCGAATGAAAAATAACTTTTATTATATTTTCTATTATAAATAATTTTTCTTTTCTTTCCAATATTCTTAGTTTAATTAATTCCAATATTCTGTGAATCATCATTTTTCCGCTTAGTCATTGGTAACCAGTTTTTCATTTTGAAAATCTAGGTTTGATTTATTATTTATTCGCAATTATTTAAACGCGCAATATATTACGAGTTTCTTAAAAACAAAAGACAGTATTCTCAAATCGCGTAGAAAAGTAAGGAATACAAAGCAACAAGAAGACAAAATATCTGCTGTTAGAGACAACAAATTGACGTAAAAAAATGATTCTAATTGAAAATACAGCAACATGAGCCCAGAAACGGTAGCGACATAACGTGTAGACATGCTGATAAATCGATCAACTCCTAAAAGAATTAATCAGATACTATTATCTTTTTATAGGAAATTATTTTTATTCCCAATTAAATACAACATCCATTTCTGTTACTCCTTTTAAAAGCATCATTTATGACAAAGTTGGTTATGTCTACGGTTAAAACATATTTGTGAAAATAAAAATGGTGTAATTAAAAATGGAGACCTTGAGCTAGTAACCTTGAGCAAAAATTTACGAGTGTTACAGAAAATTATTTAACAGGATGTTAGTGTATATAATTTTTGTATTTAATTGTTAAACATGATTTGTTTCTCTGCGAACCACCTATATTTCTCTTGCGTACCACCATGGTACGCATATAAGGTATTTCTCCCACCTTCTTAGCGTGCCTTCGTGGTGTAGTGTTCTGCATGCTGGGCGACTTCTTGAGAGGTCTGTGATTTCCCGGCGAAGGCGTTGCTCATTTTTCATCTTCCTGCTTCCAAAATACCTAATGTCTCTACAGTGGCGCCCGAACTAAAAAGGTGGTGGATGTTGATTCTCCACACCCAGCATTTGGGGACTGGGTCCCCTAAAAACCCCAGTCGCCCTTTAAAAGGGGGAGTATATAAGGTATTTCTCCCGCCTTCTTAAGTGT